TTAATATAATCTTTCCCTATTCAACTATCCAATCCCCTTGTTTTGGTATTTTACATAGATTCAATTTGTGTTATGAGGAAAAAGATGACTTATTTTGGTATTTTAAGTTTTCTTTTGGTATTTTATATAGATTTATTAATTGATATTTATGAATCTATTTTAATTGGTTGTCATTTTTTTGTGTTAACTTGCTTTCTTGCAAAGAAAGTGAACATTGAAGATCATCCATCACAAGAACCAAACATGTAGTCTTCACAACAACCAACTTCATGTCAAGGTTCTATTGGTACAAGTAAAGCACCGATAATGAATTATTGCAAACACTTTCAAAAGAAGCTGATCAAACAGAGTCAACAAAAATAGAATCAATGAAAGAGAGGCTAAAAAGTGTTGGGTGGCAGCACTTTGACAAGATTAAAACCGATGGAAAAAATAAAGTTAAATGTAATTATTGTAAAATTGTTTGGAGGAGAAGCAAGGAATGGAGCAAAGTGCTTGCACCGTCATTTGTTTGCCAAGTGATTCACAATGGGAATTTGCGAAAGATTTTATGGGAGATTGAAATTGTTAAATGATATCATAGAAATAATTTATGAATCCAAATACCTAACTGCCAACATTTTTCCCCAAATATTTGTGAGATCAAGCTTGTAATAGATGGATGGGTAAAGTCTCTTAATAAAATCATTCAAAATATGACGGGACAAGTGTTAAAGAAACATGAAAATTACGAGAGTGTCATTCATGATATTATTGGAGTAGTTTTTGTTTTAGATCCAAAGTACAAAGTGGATTTGCTTGAATATTATTATGATAAATTGTATGATATTGATTGTGATTTACAAGTCAATAAGATTTGTCAATTTTGTTGTGATTTGGTTTCTGAATATCAATTAAAAAATAATGAAGGATCTTCTTATGGGTCTTCATCATTTAAGGAAGGAAAGGTTGGTAATAATGACATGAGTGATTTTGTAAAGTTCATGGTCAAAAAGAAAAAAAGCTAGAATTTCATCTATGAAAATAGAGTTGGATCATTACTTAAAGGAGGATAATTTACCTATTACATTAAATTTTGATATTTTATTATGGTCGAAAACAAATGGGTTGAAATATTCAACACTTCAAACAAACGCAAGGGATGTTTTAGCT